CTCATGAGAAATACAACGACAAGCAATGAATTAATGGCTAGAGTTGGCGCCTAATCAAGCAGGTGCTCTCCATCGACATTTTATTAGTGCACCTCAAACAATTAGCTCTAAGCTAAATGTGCCACATGGAGGAGAGAGAGGTCAAAAATCTTTGAGGTAGCGCAAAGAGAAGAGCTTTTTTTGTGTGTATCCTAATGGCTAATGTATAAGAAATATAACTACTCTATCTCTCTCTTGATAGGATTGAATAAAAAACACCTTACATGTTGGACATATAGAATGAGATGATATCTATGAGACGGTACTTAAACTCTTGTTATTGGAGGAGCCCTAAGAGCAGGATACCTAGGTGGAATAAAGGAGTAACATGAATTTGTTCTCAGAGCATGATATCTTTAGAGTTCCTTAGTTTTTTCCTGTAACCAACCAAACACATAATTCCACACCATTCCTATATTTCCAGTTTCTTAGGTTTACATATGCATTCCTATCATATTCGTATTTTTTTTCTATTTCCGTGTTTTCTCGTTCCTGTGTTCTAAAGGGGTGGGGTCTCTTTGAAACACATGAATAAATCATACAAGAATTCTATTTTTGTTCATAAGCTAAAAGTTATCTTTAGTTGTTGAAATGAAAAAGATAAAATTACAATTGAACAATACGATATCTGAATTGGAGATGGATCCGAACAATCCAATTTTCATATCCGAGGATATTCGGATCCATATAAATGTTGAAAGTGTGCTATCCAATTTGATTGTTGGCATGATATATGCTAGAAACATTGGTGCCTAATAAATGACAATTGTCCATCTAAGAGCTTGATTGGTTGATAGCCAAATTTTGGCTACCAAAACTTAGGCAAGCTAAAATTTTGGCTGCCATTTTGTTTGCTACCAAACTTTGCCAACATCTCACAATTAGAATGCCAAATCTATGGCAAAAATTTTTGTCCTACTTTTGGCAACTTCTTGCCAAAATTTTAGCATGGTAACTTTTGGTAGCCAACCAATCAGACTCTAAAATCATGGGTGGTCCTAGAGCTGATCAAGGTGCAACATCACATTGCTCTATGTACAACAAGGATGAAGTTGAGCCAAAAAGAAAAGCTTTAAAACTAAAATGCACTTTGGCAGTTCATCAATAAAATTGAGCCTAAAAATAAAGTTTAAGGACTAAAACAACCTCTTTAATAGTTTTTAGATAAAACTGGGCCCAAAAGAAACAATTGAGAACTAATATGATCCTTTTGAAAGTTTAAGAACAAAACCGAGCCTTGAGTAATACTCCGAGGACAAATACTCTAACAGAGTAACAGGTACCTGCTATGTCAAAAAAGAATGTGCATCCTCCTGTTTTTTTCAAGAATTCATTTTAAAAATACTAGATATATAAAAAATGGTAATATTTATGATGTATAATAAGTATCATTAAATTAATACCAAAAATATGTTTATATGATGAACATATCTGGAGATACAAATGTTTACACTATTTTCAATAAATCTAATCAATAAAAAAAGTTTGATACATGGGAAAACGATATATGCACTCTTTTTGGGACGGCAGTGAGACATATAATATTAGTCCTTCCATGTTTTCTTGACAAAATGAAAGTTAAAATCTCTAACTAACTTACTATCAGCGATAATACTCCTCCGCGAGCGTCCGTTCCAGGCAACCTGTCCGGACGCGTCCTTGGGCCTGTGGACCAGCAGCCCAGGCAACCAGCCTGCTTTCTCCCCCAACTCACCTCTCCCTACGCGTGTTCTAAAAAAAATCTCAACTGCCATTTTCCCCACTCACCCAACCGTGGTCGCGGTCGAGGCCGCCTCCACTGCGCCTTACACCCACCGTGGCGCCTCGCCGTGCCGCCAGTCTCGACCTTGAAATCCGCCCCGCGCGGCCGCTCCACCGCGTCGTCTGCTCGCTCCACTCTGTCTCGCCCACCACGGCCATCCCCTGCCGCACTCCATCCCGCGTCACGCCCGCCCCAATCCTGCGCCCTGCTGCACGGGGCATTTCCCGCCGCGCCCCCATCCACCTCACCCGTTGCGGCCATAGCCTGCACCGCTCCACCCCCTAGCGCCAACCAGGAGGCAGTTGCCGCCGATACAATAATTCCCCACCAGGTAGGCCATGGCCGCCAGCGGCGTCGTGTTTCGAGTGTTTCAGGCCTATGTTTCATGCGTTTTAGTTGTTTTCAGACGTTTGTTTCAAATGTTTCTTGTAGATGTTTCAAAAGTAGATCTTGATGTTGCACATGTTGCCAGGCTACACACGCATGTTTCAAGTGCTTCATCTATTTCAGACTTATGTTGCAAATGTTTTATCTGGATGTTTCAAAAGTACATTGTGGTGCTGCACAAGTTGCATTGGCTACATACGCATGCTTCACGCGCATGTTTCAAGTGTTTCATCTATTTTTAGATTTATGTTGCAAATGTTTCAAAAGTATATCAGGTGTTGTATGTTGCCGTCTGCTTGTTGCTGCGGGTGCGCCGCCGTGGTTCACGTGCCAGAGCCTGAGGCCTGCAGACGCCTCCGCAGCGCGCATCTGCAGGGGGGCAGGTGGGGCACGGGTCCTGGTTCCACCGTGCGGGCGTGGGGTGCGTTCCACCGTGCGGATGCCGGATGGGCGCGGTTTATGCCGTGCAGGGGCGCGGAATGGGCGCGGGCCACTGTTTCCTACACTGGCACTGGTTGGGAACAGGATGAAGCGCGTGGAATGCGATGCGCGACGGAGCGCGAGAGGTGCGTCCAGATGCAGGCTCGGGGCTGGACATCTGGGCGCTAGTGGTACCGTATCAGTCATACAAGTATAAAACTGTGTCTACATATATTTCAGTTGCAACTACTCTGCATCTCAATCATACTTGTGCACATCACAGAATGAATAATTCATCCAACTTACAATACAACCGAAATAAAATTGAAGCCACATCTACAGATACACACGGATACGATGGTATTCTGAATTCTGACCGCATCGCGCACCTCGCCGCACGTACTGGGACTGGACTGGCGGAGGGACACGCCACGCGGGACGTGGGCTGTGCCGTGCCACAGAGGATCCATGTCATGTCAGCACGTGGCGCACGGGCCTCGGTGAAAAAATTTGGAGCTTGCCGCGCGCCGCACGCGGGGCCCACACGTCAGCACCTGATTTCAAACCCAGCGCACACCTCATCATCTCCCCAACAACAGGTCATTAATTTCCGGGATCCTCGTTTCGTTTCCCTTCCCACTCTTCCTCTCTATCAGCGCCGCTGCTCGCCGGCGCCGCCTGCCCCCAAGCCCCGGAATCCGTGGGGGACCGGAAACGCTTGCTCGCTCCCCCTTATTTTCCTCGGCCGCCGGAGCGCGCGTCGCCTCCGGGCAGCAGTCCCTGGTTCCTGGTGGTTCTTGCCTCCTCTCCTCGTCTGGGTGGGTGGTGGACTAGCGTCGTCTTCGCTGGAATCCACCTGCCTGCTCCGCCTCCTTTCGCGCTGGAGGTGCGTGATTCTTTTCCGCCGCCGCGTCCTCTGTTCGTGCCCAGTTGTTCGCCTGCGGCCGTGATTGCATTTGCACCCTTCTTGTTTTTTGGTCCCCTTTGGGGGTAAAATGTTGGGATCTCGGAAGATTTTGATCGGCGGTAGCGGGTGCTCTCTGATCCGTGTTTCTTCCACTTTGCCCGGACGAGTGGACTCGCCTGCGTGCCCGGTTTCAATTCTTTTTTTCAAACTTATTCGGCCTGTTCATGTGCGGAGGGACCCCTCTCGAAATCCTAACAGTAAACAGATTTTCTGAGCTCTGGTGCGGGAAAACCTGGAGTTTTGGGGGTTGTACTAGGAGATCTCTGTTTAGGAGTAAACGTCAGTACTAGACTGTTCTGTTTTGGGGGTTTAACCAAAGAATCTTTGGAAAATTTGAATTGGTTTGAAATTACAAGATGCTGTTGTCCTCCCCTCGTTGCAAGCACTGACGAAGATGCCTTTACTTGATTAGTCCTACATAAGTTATTTTTTTACAGAGCAGTACAGAAAGGGCCATTGTTTAGTCCTCTGGTTCTGTCGCACGCAATTAACCTATATACCGCGATGAATCACGTTGACTCTGTGCACCCAAAACATGTTACTCCTAAATTTGCTGCGCAATGTGCGCAGGTTGACTAAGGTGGTGTTGAGTTCTAGCGACTAAAATTTAGGAGGTGTGTCATGAGGATGTTGCATGGGGTGTTCAGATACTAATAAAAAAACTAAATTACATAATTCATCAGTACTCCACAAGACGAATTTTTTAAGCCTAATTAAGCCATCATTATCGTATGTTTACTGTAGCACCACGTTGTCAAATCATGGACTAATTAGGCTTAAAAGATTCGTCTCGTAAAATATTCACAAACTATGCAATTAGTTTCATAATTAATCTATATTTAATACTCTATGCATGTGTCCAAACATTCGATGAGACAACGACTAAAATTTAGGAGAGAGCGACCAAACACCACCTGAGTATGTCGGCACGTAATTTTATCCCCGTTTTTTCAAGTCTAATAAATGACATGAACAAGTCACTTGCAGTGAGTGTGGACAATTTCTGTTTCCTTTGCTCTGGTTTCGGCTCGTTGTCGATACAATATATTTTTGGAGTACTGAAAGCTACGCTTCTGTCATTTCACTGCCAAGACAAGTGCCTGGCTCCACGTGAACTCGTGGCCTCTTGACCTGAAGAAAAATCGTTTTCTCTCACTCATAGTATTTTTTTTTTAATTTTTTCAGCCAAAGCTACTGATTGGCTTGTACTGACTAGCGAAGCCAAAGAAGGATTCTTAGTTGGCAATCAGAGGTGTTTGGTTTGGTCAAACAAAGCTCAGCTCCCTCCTTTTGTCTTGCCCATGGGATGCTTGCTGTGAGCTGCTCGTGTTCATACTTGTTGAGATAATAAAACAGTGTAGCATCTTGCGGGCTTGCCCTTTCTGACTGGAAGAGAAGATAAGACGTGCTGTTTTGTGGCCTGCTATGTCTGTCTCGGAGAAGGTGGTGCCAGCATCATCAGTTTCTTCGTCGTCAGATTTGGATCCGCTGTTGAAGGATCTTACGGAGAAGAAGTTGAGCTTTAGGAGGAACGTGGTATCATTGGCTGCCGAGCTCAAGGATGTGAGGAACAGGCTTGCTTCCCAGGAACAGCTGTTTGTAAGGGAATCTCAAACTAGAAAGGTTAGTCTGTAGTTTGTAATTGGTACCTTCGGGGTTGTCGGTGGAGTTTGTGCTGACTAGGAACAAATCTTAACAGGTTGTGGAGACAAAAGCAAGGAGCATGGAAGAGGAAGTAAGCAAGCTGCAGAAATGCTTACAGGACAAGGATGAGCAACTGCGTTCATCCACAAGTAGCACGGAACAGGTAAAGAGCTTTCACAGCAAAATACACTTCTTGCAGTTTAATGGAGATGTGATCTAATTTTTGTTTACTCTGAATCTCCTTGCGAACAAAGCCCAAAAGATGTTGACTGTAATACAAAGCCAACATTTTGGAGTCAATATTTCTGCTTGCAAAATTGCTTTGTTTGGTCATTAAATAAACTTTTGATCATGAAATAAATTTTAGCTTGACTTACTTTGTTAATCTGATTCAATTTTTACTAATCAACTTGGTCGAATGATCATGGCTACTAAATTTCTGCTCTGAGTGTCACTGTGTCGGTGGCTAATGATTTTAGTTATGACAAAATATTTTCTTTATTCAGGCAAGCCAAATGCAGTTCCTTAATAATGTGTTTTCTAATTATATACAGTACCTCCATGAGTTGGATGATCTTAGAACACAACTGTCATTTACTCAAGCTACAGCAGAAGCAAGTGCTGCATCAGCCAAGTCAGCTCAGATGCAGTGCTTGTCATTGCTGAAAGAGCTGAATGAGAAGGACATCTCGCTCAAAGAGCATGAACTTCGAGTGAACAAGCTAGGTGAGCAGCTTGATCTTCTCCAGAAGGATCTGCAAGCAAGGGAGCTCTCACAAATGCAACTTAAAGATGAAGTAATAAGAATTGAGACCGACATCATGGACGCAGTTGCCAAAGCTGGGTCTAGGTCTGACAAAGATAATGAGCTGTTAAAGATCTTATCTGATGTTTCACCAAGGAATGTCCAGAACCTCAACAACCTTTTGAATGCTAAGGATACAGAGATTGCGAGGTTGAGAGAGGAAATCAGAATATTGTCTGCTCACTGGACGAACAAAACCAAGGAACTTGAATCACAGGTATACTATATTCCTTTTATCCATAAAAGACCTCCATAATTTGGTTACAAATAATTTGTTTCCTATAACGCTGAATTGAAGTATATTTACATGAGATTTATTGATTTTTGAGCAGTTAGAAAAGCACCGGAGAACTGATCAGGAGCTGAAGAAGAGGGTTCTGAAGCTTGAATTTTGCCTTCAAGAATCTCAGTCTCAGATGCGAAAATTAAAGAGGGTATGCTCCTTCCGGTTCCATAAGGGGATCAGTTTAATTTTATGTTATAGTTGATTGTCAGCATATTCTCCTTCAGGTTCCATAATTGTAGTCATTTCCTTTGCTTGTTAGCATACAGCTAGAGGGAGTATATATGCGTTGATTCGACCACTATTTTCTATTATAATATAATCGAACATCCTAAAAAAAAGTATATTTCAAGACAAATCTCTGCATATGATCTTCAAGTTTGTAAACTAAATACCATAAAGTTATTTGTAATCAAAGTTTCAAAAAGTTTGACTCAAACCTTATCCAAAATGGCAATTGTTTGCAAACCGGAGGGAGTTCCTGAATTGGTGATGGGACTCAACATTTTAGATGTGTTGCCTTCAACATGTGAACCAACCATCCTTGCTAATGCAGTTTGCCATAATTGTGCGTGGAAAATATTCATATCAATGGTCTGATCTTGTTTACATTTATTCTGCAGATGGGGGAGAAAAGAGACAAGGCTCTCAAGGAGCTCATGGACCAGGTGGCCATGAAGCAGCCCAACAGTATGTGCCATGGCAACAAGGAGAATTTTTGGGAGAGCCAGGGATTCAAGTTCATTGCCTCTATGTCGATGCTGGCACTAGTGATCCTCGCAAAGCGATGAAGCAGCATCGTATACCCAATCTCGTGTAAAGAAGTTAGAGATTCCATCCATCGTTAGGTGAGCAACTAGCTCATAGTTTAAGCAGATGTCAATGTAGCGTTTACATTAGTTTGTAGGCTTGGGCAGCTGTGCATACTGCATGGTCAGATGCCTAGACCAAAATTTGCCGACATCCAATCCTAGTCTGCAGACTATAATAGTTGTAGTCTGTAATCCGTAGTGCAGTTTCTGCTGGTTCATGTAAACTCTTAAGCTGTCTTGTAGTCACAGCTAGTTCATGTCAGCTCATGAGCAGTCATGTAGTCATGAATCTACATTTTATAATTTCAGAGTAGCTTCAGCAGTTGTCACAGCTAAATCTAATTAGCTATAGTGTGGGCCTGTGATCTTTTATATCTTGGGGTAAGCTGGTAACTCCAGCATGAGTATTGCACTCCTATGGCTGCAAATTTGCTAAAAGTACATGATGCTTTATGTGCACAAGCGTAGGCTTGGCAGCAATCATTGCAACAGAAGATCAAGGTATGATGCAAGTCCAACTTGAATTGGATTCTATGTCGTTGGTGAACACCCTCAAATCAAACGAATATGATCATTCACCGGAGCTCGGGGGCATTCTGTTTGGAGAAATTAAGGTATTGAATTCCTTTTATCAACACAATTTGCTCAGCTTGACTTGTCGGACCTGTTTGGATGACTGCCTGAGCTAGGTAGATCACCCAGGCTGTTGATTTTCAGCACTAGTTGTTAGGGCTAGATCTACCTGCCTGGGTGACTCCCAATCCAGGCCACAAAACAAACAGGCCTATATTCCATGGTGTTGGACTGTTGAAGGCCCTCTATTGATTGAAATATGATAATTCACCTGAAGGCATTCTAATCCGAGAAAAAAATTTAATTTTATCCACGAAATTTGCTTCCGGTCAATGTGAGTTATGCTCCGAGTGTGCACATAAATTTGCTCCCACTTGTAAACAAATTAATTGTACCGAACTCTTTGTATAGACATATTATATTCTAAGCACCATTCTAAAACTTATATAAAAAAGTCAAAACATCACTTTTGAATTAGATACAATAAAGTTTTTTTTTTAGGTGACTCTTTAAGATAAACATATTATATATCTCATCTTGCACCATATCAAAAAGGGCTATATATTAAAAAAATAGCTCCGCTTCTATGCGCGGTCGAGAAAGGTGTCGTTGGCAAACCTTAAACATCATACAATTTTTCCGAATAGAGTGAGTACCTAAAGTTTCGAAGCTTTTTCTTAGGTGACTCTAAGAAAAAAATAACAGCACCAATAAACATTTCAGCTCGTTAGCTATAACCTCGAGTCACCATGAATGAAGCTAAACGAATAAGCTTCGGTGAAAAAAAGTATCAAAACTTATATTAGTTTTTGTATTACTTCATGTCTTGCACTTTACAATTGATTGGTAATAGGTGTCTAGACCCTCTAAATTGACCGGTAAAGCGCTAGATGTATTTCTTTTATATTATTATTATTCTCAAACTTTAGATAAATGCAAATATTATATTTTGTGTATTTTTATACCTAGCTCATGAGCTTAACGAGCCAACTCGACCTTCCGAAGTCGACAAAGTATCTTAACGAAGACTCTCGAGCCGAGCCAGCTCGTTATCCAGCTATGCTTGCACCAGACCCGCCCTTCTTGCAACCAATAGAAAGAATCAAATATTGTGGGGATACAAGAAATCTTGTTTACAACTCAGGGGAAGAATAATCACAAATGTTACACGCTGCCAGCCACATGTCCGCAAGAACGACATCGACGACTCATATATCTTACTTATCTATCATACAAGAGGCGGGAGAGAAGCGAAGCTTATGACCCAGCATTTTCTCCTGGGTTAGTCGCCCGCGCATGCGCATTCAGCAGGGGTTGTAGCGCCTTGACAACAATGCTCATGTTTGGCCGGAAGTCTGCTTCGTACTGAACACACAAGGCGGCAACAGCCGCAAACTGTTTCAAAGACAGGAGCACAAACAGGGTTAAAACCTTAAATGGATCATCGCCAAAAAACACATGAACTCAAGAGCTAACACTTGATAGCACCAGCAGCAAGGATCAAAGCTTAGCATAATAAACTGATACTGAATGCAAATATGCTTTGAGAACAATGTTCAGTAGCAGGTCAAATTCTATGAGCGCAACATAAGATTAGACATTTCAATAACAGAAGACAGTTTACTAATCTTTTCTTCTACAACCATCACTTTGTTCTTCATTAACCAGCTTTCTTTGACACTTCGCTAAACAGTTAATAAAGCCAACTTAAAAAGTCATGAATAGTTTGAGAAGAAAGGTTGTTCATGGTACCTTTGCAACAGCTTTCGGAGGATAGTCCCCTCCAAGTCTTGAGTCAACACATTGTCTAACCTTGTCTTCGCTAAGTCTTGGTGTAGCCTGCCAGTGTTGAATAAGTCATTGATTTGATTCACCCAACAGAAAAATACAAGTTAATTTTATCTTATAACAACTGGCATGTGTAGATGGAACTTACCCAAGTCACAAGACTCTGCTGTCCCCTTGGTAATGTATGGTCGACAGGTTTCCTTCCAGTCAATAGCTCAAGAAGAACAACTCCGAAACTATATACATCGCTCTTAGAGCTGAGTTGCCCAGTCATTGCATACCTGACCCAAAAAATGTAAACTTACGTTAAGCTTAATTATCTCAAAAGGTCTGTAGAGCAATGGAAAAGGAAATCAGGACATACTCAGGCGCATGATATCCGAAAGTTCCAAGAACCCTAGTTGAGTGAAGCCGAGCTGCCATGTCAGGAGCTTGGTTTGACAAATCAAAGTCAGCTATCTTAGCTACATCATCATCAAAAAGAAGAACATTGCTAGACTTAATATCTCTGTGTATGATATGCGGTTGCGCTTTCTCATGAAGATACTCGAGGCCTTTTGCTGCCCCAACAGCTATCTTCACACGTTGTGACCATGATAAGACTGGACCGGGTTGAGCCCCTTTAACACCTTTCCTTCCTGTAAAGAGACATATTCTGCATGTGTTAAGCATGGTTTCTTTTTGGGTAATTTCCTTACATGTCACCGAGAAAACTCACAATCCCTGATATGCCATCACTGTGTATATGACACATGGGACCCCCACAGTCAGTGGCATATCGGGATTTAAGGTTTAGTCCGTTGCATATAAGAAATTATTCCTTTCTTTTTTTACTTGGACCATGAGACAGTACAACTCATGCAAAAGATAGAGAAAAAATATAGCACAAGACAATACCATGAAGCATATCATGAAGAGAACCCATAGTAGCAAACTCATAAGCAAGGACGCGGAGTGTCCCATCAGCACAGTAACCAAGCAACTCAACAACATTTTCATGCTTCAGCCTTGATACCATAGACACCTGAAGATCAATTTCAGAATGACATCAAACCACAGACTAAAAAAAGATGCGCTGCATTTCATAAACAGGGAAACACAGACCTGCGCCAAGAATTCTTGGTCTGGCTGCTTATTAGAATCCAACTTTTTGACCGCAGCGCTCCTACCATTTCTCAAAACACCGAAGTATACTCTGCCAAAGGAGCCCTCACCAATCAAGGCTTCATCACCAAAACCCTTAGTCACCTCCCGAATCTCATCTACAGGAATAGCAGGGACTGCAATTGGCTGCATTTTCACAGGCTGAGGACCCTTGGGAGGGTGATCAGCAGGGCGGTATGCATCGGCCCCTGCAGGTCAGTTGGAGTTTATCAGAAAAATATTGACCAAGCATCAAAAGCTAAATATATGGTATGAGAAATGGTGCTCTGCAAAGGATTACAACCAAAAAAAAGGTCCATGCTCTTACTTGCTGGATGGTGTCCTGGGTATTGAGTCCTGGTGTCTGGTACTTGGGTATCTTCATCACCGCAGCATGCAAAGCACGACATGTTCTACCCAAAGACAACCTGGAAGTTGGAATCAAACGCTTTTGTATTAGAAGAAGCGGCGATATAGCATCAGTCAGAAAACAAGAAACAAAGAAAACAAAATCTGTTAGAAATCGAGCAACCAATTCCATAAGTAATTGATATCCATGACATGCACTCATCGCATCATCCATGGTGTAAACAGGACCATGTATAAATTCTCTCCATCCCCTCTCCCCTGTAGTTCTGCATCCATGTTCTCCACTTACAAACCAAATGTGAGACTAACATAGGTGCACAGCAACCAAATTGACCCACATGTTGCAAACAATTTATGCAAAAGGAAAACTTAAAATATGGAGGTATTTCTGTGTTCTTTGTTGTTTCCCAACTGCCCCCAGGCAGATTAAAATATATCTAGCAGGAAGGTACTAACTACTCAGAGTCACCACTTGCTATGAAGCTGATCAAAGGACAGCTCATTCTGCAATTCTTAATACGCCACAGGTTTCATGCCACCTTAGCTAGAGACAATAATTATGCACATTGGTTGGAAATCTATTACTACTATTAGATTAAGCATCCCACCAGTCAGCTTTGGGGTCATTGCACCACTGGACGAATACTTGCAATTACCCTTCTTTCTGAAAACAAGAAGAAATTCCTGAGCCTGAAACCACATTAGTCACTTCACTTCGCCTACAGATTCATCTCAATCGTGGCTACATTAAAATTTATTGCCGCATCACATGCATTTCATGCACTGCTGCTCCTCCACAGTACCAGCAGTCCAGCACCAAAGGGGTCACCTTTTCCCTCATGCCCACAGCTCACAATCATGCCATTCTCACACACGCCAGCTCGGCCAATCCAAAAGGCTAACATCGTGTTCGCTCCGGCTCTTTCCTTAGCCTGCCAAACCTGCAATTGCTTCTGCGGTGAAGCATCATTTCGCTGAGCTATCAATGCAGCGATGAATCCCCAAATGATACACCGTGGCACGCCACGGACGAGCTACCTATCCAATCCAAGCAGGGTTCCCAAAGCGGCGCGACCGCCTTGGTGGAGCAGCGGCTGCTGGCTCCAGCCTTGGCGAGGGCGCGAGGCGACTGGCGAGAGGCGGGAGGGGGAGCCGCTGACGCCGCCGCCGAGCCTGGGACTGCCCCGCCGTCCGTCGCTACCGACGAATCTCCGCAATACGCGCTGAGAGAGAGAGAGAGAGAGAGCTGCGAGAGATGGAGGAGCTGGGAAAAAAAAGTAGATCTCACCGGCTCCTTGTCCCTTCTCAGGCGGGATGGACGCCGCTGCCCCTGGATCCACGTGCTGCGGCTCCTCCTCCCTCCTCACGCGCGTAGCCAGCGAAGGAGAAGAAGCCCGGCGGCCAGGAACGACGGGGGGAGGCGGGGCGGCGATGAGAGACGAGACGGCGCGGGAGGCGGGGCGGGCGATGCACGACGGCGCGAGGCCGCGGAGGACGACGCGGAGGGAAGCGAGTAGGAAGGCAGCTAGTACAGCGAGGGTAGGCCTTCCGAGTTCCGACGGACGGGGCTGGCTGTGCGGTCACCAGCGGTGAGCCGTGAGCTTATATACAGCTGCTTCAGCGAGTCTACTGTCCTCCGTCTTCTCCGTGTGCTGTTGGTCGTCTCGTCAGAAAGAGCAAAAGGCAAACCCCCATGTGCCTGTTCCCATTTTTCTTCTCTTTCTCCTTTTTTAAAAAAACTCCGACGCTTTCATCTCACGCACGGGGAACTTTCAGTTGACCCCGTCCCTCTTTCAACTGGTCAAATCAAATTCCAAACCCTTGGCGATCAGCTTTCAGCAAATCATCTCGAAACCCTGAAAAATGTTCGGTTTCAGATTTGAAAATTAAGGGCGCGTTTGGTTCCCACCACAGCCCCTATCCGCTGCCATAGCCGTGGCCGCGCCGCGAGTGTGGCGGACAAAACGGCCGCCAGATAGTTGGCGTGCTGTGGCGCACGTTATGAACTAGCAGCTGCGGCGCGCGCCAAACCTTTCGCCATGTGTGGCGGGAATGTTTGGCAGTTTCAGCATGTCGCATGTGCGGCGCGCGTTGACCATGTGATTCAAACGTGCCCTAAAAAGCTAACCGAAGAGACTCTCGTGGAGCTCTCCTGATTTGGAAGAGGAGGAGACGTCAACGAAGCCAAGAAAGAAAAGGAGAGGAATAAGTAATAAATTGAACTGAGAGTGATTTAGTTGTAGCAAGCACCAATTCGATGTCCTCTTCTTCTCCTATGAGTGCCAGAACGACAACTTCCTCTTCTCTTGAGAATTTTGGATCTAGGTTTAGGGTTTCGGATTCAAATTATAGAAGGGAGTTTTGTGGTGTACGATTTAAAGGGAGCTTTGGGGAGGGAGGGGGGGGCTTCTAGAACAGCAGCGATGGTAGGGTGCGCTATGGGTGGGACTGTAGGCAACTATGGAGGAGACTAGTTAGGGAGGCACTATGGTGGGGGTGTCCTGTCGTGGCGGTGGCCGCGAGAACTATGGAGGAGGCTAGTTAGGACGGTCCACGAGGGTCTCCCACTGTGTCGATGGTAGCACAGGGTGTCTTGTGCCGTGGCGGCGGTAGCGCGGTGGTGGATTTGGCATCGCTAGATCGGGAGGGGTGGCAATGGAGGTGGAGCGCATGATATGGGAGGGGGGCAGGGAGCTCCCAACGTTGTTGCAGCAGTTACCAACGATGATAGTCGCGAGGGCGACGATGATGCCGCTAGATTGGGGAGGCATCGGTGAAGGTAAGGGAGCAAGATCCAATTGTGGTAAGAATAGAAAGAAGATGGAGGAGGTGGTGGAAGGGTGGCCCTCATAGGCATCGGAGGCGACACTTGCAAGGCGGAGGCTGGTGGCGGGACAAGGTTGGGTGGCGTACACACCGAGGAAAAGGGGGTAGGGGTGGTGTGAACTTACGAAGGAGGAGGTGGTGGGTGACAATTCGTTGTATCTAGAAGGAGATAGAGTCCTCTCATGCTTATATTATCGCGAGAGGGTTCTCTGTATAGACGAGTCCATTTAAGAAGTTTCGAGACACTTTCCCCAAAGAAAAGTTTCAAGACATGTCATCTTGCATTTATTGTCACTCACACTGCTTGCGCAGACTACTACTTTCTCTAGGCAAATAAATATGGAATTTGAGATGTTATACGTGACTTGTTTTTTTTACCTTTTTTGGTTTGTCGATAACATTAGTTGTAGACAGTAGGTCATTGACACTGATGACTTCACATCTCTACCCCTTCTTTACCATTCTCTCCCGCTCTTTCTCACTCCCTCTTTCTCGGCACCAACTTTATTGCCATTTTGCCAAGAACCTCTTCTTAGAGCAACTTCAAGAGCCTCTTTATATCTTCCATATTGATAGGAATAGAGATTTTGGTGAAAAAATCCCTCCGACAACTTCTTCAACTAGATCTTTAAATATTCCCATCCTCTATTCCTGATTTCTCGCTCCTCAAAGATAGAGAAGTTGTTGGAGTGTAGAGAGATATATAGAGATTTTTTATTAAAATGACACTCTCCAATTTCCAAATAAGGGTTTAAAAAAAGACTAATGGAGATGCTCTTAGCCGCCAACCTATGAATCATTGAATTGCTTGCCCTAAAGCTAATCTTCCTATCATCCCACATTATGATAAAATGTTTTTGACCTTTTGTAAGATAGTTTCTCAAAGAGCATATGAGACAGAATTTTCGTAGTCAAGTAACCCTCATGAGTTTCTTGACGGACTTATAGTATGATTCCTTTTATCTCCCATCCGGTTACTACTTCCTTGGTTTCATAATACTCCTTTTATCTCCCATCCGATTACTACTTCCTAGGTATCATAATACAGCTACTTATAGCATAGAACTTTAGAGTTGTAAAGAGGGTTTTTCCAAAAAGGGATGTATGCCCAAAATACTATTCACCTTTCATTTCCATTCCCCCTATTCTAATTTTGCGTGCACGCCAACCACCTTTCCATGTAGATGTGCCAATCACATGAACTTTAGTTTTAGCTGGCATGCTGCCAAAGAAAAAGCACCGAGAATGTCTAAGAGTAGTTATATTACAAGACATATGAGTCTTTTGCAAGTGAGGCGACGCAAGCATTATCATGAGCGGAAAGGGAAAGAAATGGCAGCAATCGAGTCATGGTCTTGAATTTTCCATTTTCATTCAGGGTTTGTTTGGAACGCAATAATGTAAAATAAAAGAATGAAAAAAAAGCACAGGAATAACATACAGTGAAAAGTAGAAAACTATAGGATATCAAAATACAGGAATAGAAACTTTGGGGGTGTTTGGATTACGGGAAAACAAGAATGTCGCGTGTGCCCAAGAAGCAATGTTTCAGGCTTCAGAACATGAGAAAACATTGCAAGAAAATTTCCTTTGGGTTTCCTTGGATGCCTTTTTTCATGTGTTTTGTGAAGCATGGTTAGTCTTTCCTCCGGAATGGAATGCAGTTTTTTTTCTTTATTCCAAACAGTAAGATGAGAAAACTTTCCAAAAGAATCCATTCCTTTGCTTTTCCTTTGAAAATCCTCCATTCCAAACAGACCCTCAATATACAAAGAGTTACCATGATGATGGATGCCTCTAAGTTGCATTACTTTATTTAAGATGCAAGAATACGCAGGCCGTTGTTGTTGGGTAATATTTATATCATCAAAGAAAATAAAGGCATACCATACATATATAGATAGGGCTGGTTAACGAGCCAACATAGGTTATTATAGCTCCCAACAAGGTGGTTTTGAATAAGCTCGTGTAGCTCACGAGCTAGATTGTTAACAAATGCAAAAACAGTAAGCAATAACTAGTTCATGCAAATATGATGTCACAAATAACTGAGTACAATATACAGCAGACACCACAAGTCACAACATTAAGTTAATTTGGTACTTTATCTGTGTTATTGACTTGTGATGTTCTCAGCTAAAATGCTGGCTTAGATCATCATCATTAATAAAAAGAAAAAAACAAGCGAGAGAGTCGGTCAAGTCATGAGCTTTTA